TTTTTAACCTTAAACCGCATAAACACATTTCATTACACCAAATACACAAAATAATATTCTTTTTAGCAACGTCATATGACCCCTTTAAGCAATGATGTTAAATTCAGTTACCAACATCTTGTTAATAGATGGATTTCCATCCAAACATGAAGAGAATCTTTTCAAAGTTCGCAAAAGAGAAAAAAACAACAAACAAATGCGAATTAGGTGCATTTCCATCAAGTTGCTTGAGCAGATGGCGGTGGTAGTGGTAACCTAGTAACGAACAGTAAATAAAGCACCATCAGCAGAAACAGCAGATTAGTCACATGGATTTAATGTTCGCTACGTGAGAATTTGTTAGGCAGATGCGTTTCCGCCTCCCATAATTCACATTAACTCTTTTTCACACAAGTCAAAAACCACCTCATGCGAGTTTCCATCACTCATTTTTGTTGCAATACTTTAAAATGCGCAAAAAACAGTGATGGAACCATAATAGTGACAAGACAAATTTCAGACATAATTACTATATTGTGATGTCTAATCCTTACTGTGCTTGTAAAATGGCTCATATCCTGGGAAAGATTTTGATCATATCGCCATATGATCATAAGTAGTTTAATCAGGGAGCTTTTATGAAACTGACTTTATAATGTTAAATCTAGAAACATTTTTAATTTGTCAATATTTTAATTTTAGCTTCATTCAGGAATGTTCTTGTGTTCAAAAACTGTCAGACTCAGCAGAACGAAACTGAACACAGGGGTCTTGAAAAAAAAAAACAGCATCTTGACAGCATCATAAAACACAACAAAAGGCTGAAAAATTAATGAGATGCACTGCATCAAAAACATCCATGTAGCACACAGACCAATGCACAAGTAAAAACTGTAGATCATTCACCTCTTCATTGCCCTTAGGTCCAAAAACTATGAGCTGTAACATACAAAATGTCTCCAAGCATGATTATATTTAACCCTCACCTCAAATCACATTCTGACCAATGAAATTCCAAGACTTTTCTAGTCATTGGTGATTACTAGTAGGAATGCAAAGATATCATTTTTCAGAACCGATCCGATACCGAAAATTCTGAGTATCTGCCGATACCAATCCGATTCGATACCAGCGCAGTTTTCTTTAAATCAATGTAGAATTTCTATACCTCTGTGTGTTGACCTGATCATCGCTCTTTTGTGTGTTAAACACAAAATACTAAATATAGACAACTTAATTTTAATGAAAAATAACAAATGAAAAAATATATAATCATAAACTATGACAAAAAATTATATTATAAACTAGGTTAGTGGATAATTCAGCAGCAAAAGATACTCTAGTCTAGAAGAATCATGGGTGCACAATCATTTTATAAAATCTAAATATTTAGTGGGGAACAAATAAAAGTTAATAAGTGTAGGACTAAATCTGGTTACAAAATGTTACACATTGCTCTTTGTATTGTTGCAAAATACATTCGTGAAAAACAAGTAAATATATTTATATATAAATATATACTGTAAGTTAAAAGACATTTCTTTTAAATGTATAGCACAGTAATGGAGGCAGCAACATATGATAGATAGGACAGAAAAAGAAAGACTATTAAAGGGGTCATATGATGTTGCTAAAAAGAACATTATTTTGTGTATTTGGTGTAATGAAATGTGTTTCACCACAAAGAAAACAAAAATAACGACTTTATTCAACAATTCGTCTCCTCCGCATCACCCTATAGCGACATTTTGGAGAGTATCACATACGTAAACAAAATGGCGCTATAGGGTGATGCAGAGGAGACAAATTATTTAATAAAGTCGTTATTTTTGTTTTCTTTGTGCACAAAAATTATTCTCGTAGCTTCGTAAAGTTACGGTTGACCAACTGATGTCACATGGATTATTTTACAGATCTCCTTGCTACGTCACGACATGGCGGCGGCGGCGGCAACAACAATACTACAGCGAGAATAGTATGTAATAGAACTTAATATACTAATAGAATAGTTCTTTGCGTGAACATTTGGGCGGCGTTATGCAAATCTTCCCACATGTTAGAACGAGCCGTTTTAGGTAGGCGTGGTTGACTCTTAACTTTTATAAAGAATATGTCTTTGGATTTGAGACTTTAGTCTTTGCAACTTTACAGATCTTCTTTATGCACCAAGAGCTTGTAACACTCCAAAGAGAAAGGAAAAATTTTAATCGCATCATATGACCCCTTTAATAATCTTTCATTGCACAAAGTATTATAATATGAAAGGGTATATGGTTCCAATTCAGAGCAGCACAAAGCGCTTATGCACATCCCGTGCGCAGAATGATGCACTTGAAGCAACACAGAGTCACAGCGCGCAGCATAGAAAAGTTCAAAGCACAAAGGGAAGAGATATTGATGCGTAGTGTATTATATCTGTGAAATAGTTTGAGCCTTTTCTTTTAACAGTTTCAAATCTGTTATTGAGCGCTCTTGAAGAGAGTTTCATCGTTTTGACTGTCGTAACCGAACACGACATGCTGTTTGAGCACTGAATGGAGGATGACAGACAGCCGCAGCGGAGAGAAGAGTTTACGTGAACTTGAATTGAATGACTTAAATATTCATCTGTACCTCACATTAAACTATGGAATGGCTTCAGAACACTTAAAATATAGTGCACAAAAACTTTATGTTGCTTTATATTGTTTTTGTGCCATTCTTGGGGCTTAACAATAACACAGAATAATATACGCACAATAGGGGTGTGCGATATTGACAAAAAATTATATCTTGATATTTTCTGGGATTTTATCGATGACGATAATTAGATGATATTTTGCTGAGTGTGTTATTGTGCTGGTACCTTAAGGACTGCTGAAGACAGCTGACTCCTAATGTTTTTTATATTCTTCATATTCTGTGTGGTGGTCAGTTCATACTGATAGAAATTAATCTTTTCCAATAAATTTAAACTAATATTTACATTTTATGGGCATTTTTACCTTTATAAAGCCTTTTTTTTTTAAATTGTCCATTATCTTTTGAGTCAAATTCTTACAATTAATCAGGGAATTAGAATAATAAGACATTTGGGGCTGTTACCAAGCAAATTAAATCAACACAGAAGCTGCATCTGAAGTGGCATTTAGATGTATTTACACACTGTTTAATGCAAGACATGAATGCATTTAACCTGCAATTACAAATGCATAAATAATGTTTTGATATATTAAACATAAAACATTGAATACTGATATTTGAAATGATTTGAAACATTTAAAAAAAATCTAAAAAAATAAATAAAAAAAAAAGTCGAAATGTGAAATTAAAACCGCCAAAATAGGCAAATCATTGTTAATAAGTGAGTCATTGCAATTTAACCGAATCATTTAAATGGTTGATTCATTCAGGAACGAAACACCGTCATGTTGCTCAGAGACGCAAGACTGTACTGTGGCTGTGTTTGGAATGATTTTTGTTGGTGAAATAGAGCAAAAACAGGCAATATGGTGTCTAAAACGTAAGTCTCTCAATTAACTTATTGTTTATTGAATTGTTGTAAAAAATCAATATCACATTTGTAATCATGGTAATTTTAGGAGAAAAACGGCACTCTTTGTGTGAAATCGAATAACTATATGAAGTGGTATAAATATATAAATTTTCTGCCCCCATGTTTGGAATTTGTGATCATTCTAAATGCATTGTAATTGACTGAATCATGCAGTGAAAGAACGCACTCTAAATGCGCACGCGCACTAGTCTAGACTTCACGTAATGTACGCGTGCGCTCTGTAGGGGTGTTTTGAATGGTTTTTGCAAAATACTCAATAATGTCAAATCGCACATCGTTAAAACAACAATTACGATATTATCGCAAACTATATATATCGCACACCCCTAACGCACAATATCGGATTTGGATCTGACTCGTCTGACTGAAACCCGATCCGGCAGAAAATGCCAGTATCGGATCGATGCATCCCTAATTACTAGATAAGAATTTGTTGAGATATAGAGATTACACTACCAAAAAAACAAAAAAAAAATCTATAATTAATGAGACCAATTAATTATCTTTGGCAAAACAATTTATTTTGGCTAAAAATTGTAAATAAATAAATACAATTCCCTAATCTTAATAGTCATGAAAATTACCTATAGGCTATGGGATCAGAATCCCGCCTAAAGTATTGCAGTCACGGATAAAAAAATAACAAGCATGAAAACAAAATTTAAAAACGCAAGTAAAAAATATATTGCATAAGATTTAAAAATGAAAGCAAAGTTTTCAGAATAGCAAACAATGGTCACGGATTCAAAAATAATAAGCGTAAATCAAAAAATTAATAACGCATTTTTTAAAATAATAAGCATGAATCAAAACTTTAAACACGTTTTAAAATCATATTGCACAAAATTTTAATATTAATGCGAAATTGTCTGACTTGCGCACAAAATCATGTTTTCCTTGGTTATATTTCTCTGTTTTTTCTGGTCTGCTCATATTTTAATTTTTTTGTATGCTTATGCTGTTTTTCCCTTCGCTCGTTTCCACGTTCTGCGCTTGCTTTTCCAAATGTTGCGGTTAGAGTTTCAAGTAAATCAGGGTGGGCTTAAGCGTCATCATTGGTCCACTAGTTCTAGATTGACAGCTCCTCCTCTAGCCAATCAGATGAAGGGGGCGGTGACGTCACTCCAACGCGCCTCATTAGCTGCCGATGCTCAGTGTTCTGTTCACTTGTACAGGTGAAAATGGACAGCTGTCAGCTGGAAAACATCTTTCCATACAGGACACCATTATATGTGTCTGCCTGTCACTGCTGTACGCCTGCCTGGCGATCCGTTAATGTTAAATGAGTAAATTAATTATGAATAAATGAATGTAATGTTTTTGCATTGACTAGGCTAGATCTGACTACTGATCAATGAAAGCGATAGTGTTACAGAGAAGACAGTTACAGAGGCCAGGTGGATTTGATATACACGATGATTTATTTGCATATTGTGTTTATTTACATAAACACTATGCAACATTTGCAACAAGCTACATATATAATTGCATAACACTATTATAATGTTTTAAATATATAAAGTACAATACAGCAACAATATGAAAGTAAAACAGCCAGCAGGTGGCGGCAAGTATCTTTAGAGTAAGACATTAAATCATTCATTCAAACAGATTCATTCAGTGAGGAATAAAGTGAATCATTCAATATAAGGCGGCTCTGTGTTGCTTGTAGGACACTGTTCTGCTGTGGCTTTGTTTGGACTCTTCATCAAGCAAAATGAGAAAATAGGTACAATATAAAACTCACTCAAAATTTACTTCTTGTTATATTGATTTTATACTACAGTTCAATAAAGATTTTCAGTGCAGTTGATATTCGGGGAAACACTCTTCCTCATGTGATATTGCTTAACTGTATGTCATTTTATAATCTCAGAGTAACACAAAATAATATAAAGATAAATCTTACAAGACCATCAACCTTATCAATGACATACTGTACATGAGCAAAGCTGTTTACAAAAAAACAATACATGACAAAAAATAAGCAAAATACTGCCTACAGACAGTTAACAATTACGAGCAATACAGCAAACTAAACAATTGTGACTGGGATGTATTACTCTTACTCATATCATCCTCTCCTAACAGTAATAACCATAAGACTTATTATCAGTCAGGTATGGGCGAGCCAGGCACATCAGTGACTTCGCCAGGCCGGTATTGTGGCTCCTCCCTTTCGCGATGTGGCCATAGGCGAATAAATACAGGTGAATATAACCACGATGGGTCACTAGGACGGCTCATTTAACATTAATGGATCGCCAGGCAGGCGTACAGCAGTGACAGGCAGACACATATAATGCACCCTGATTTACATGAAACTCTAACCGCAACATTTGGAAAAGCAAGCGCAGAACGTGGAAACAAGAGCGAAGGGAAAAACAGCATAAGCACACAAAAAAATAAAAATATGAGCAGAAAATGTCTGAGACCAGAAAAAACAGAGAAATATAACCAAGGAAAACATGATGTTGTGCGCAAGTCAGACAATTTTGCATTAATATTTAAATTTTGTGCAATATGATTTTAAAACGTGTTTAAAGTTTTGATTCATGCTTATTATTTAAAAAAATGTGTTATTAATTTTTTGATTTACGCTTATTATTTTTTAATCCGTGACCATTGTTTGCAATTCTGAAAACTTTGCTTTCATTTTTAAATCTTGTGCAATATATATTTTACTTGCGTTTTTAAATTTTGTTTTCATGCTTGTTATTTTTTTATCTGTGACTGCAATACTTTAGGCGGGATTCTGATCCCATAATAGGCCACTAATGTTTCAGAGAGGTACTAAAAAGAAAAAAAAAAAAATCGGAAGAAAGATTGATGCAGCTTCTGCTTTTTTGCATAAATCACTCGCACGTACAAAGCTTCATTCTCTTTAAAATTCATCTTAATGCTCTACATGTCATTTTGCATGTGTAAATGGTTCATTAAGTCAGTTAATTAATTAGATTTCCATTTGATGGCCATTAATGCTGGGTAATACTGTTTACAGAAATGAAAACACTTTTTGGCACTTGACTAAAAGATTAGTTTTTCGCTCCGAGACATTGGAGTGATGTTTTCTTTACTCAGGAGCAAGAGGAGACGTGCATAATGGATGTCTCATTATTTTCTGGCTTGAAATATAGACGAAAATAAATGGAACTGATTTGACACATTAATCTTGTTTATGTTTTTTCCTCCATATTGTACATAATCTTTCAATTGCTCACAGAATTCCCCACAAGGTATTTTACAAAGCTTCATTTTGTATTAAAAACAACTATTTCAGTACCTCAGCTCACAAAGCCCTCCTTCATTCAAGTAAATTAACACTTTTTTGAGCATTAGTTCAAAAGAATCATGATTCAAAAGAATGATTCACTTTAATTAAATTCTCCTCTTGTGCATGCTGAAAACTGTTTATATAAATGTATCTCACTTTGTGCGTGTTTGTCGTCACCCTCTCCATCCTCGCTGAGCCTCCAGAGCGCTCGTGTGTTTCCAGAAGCATCCGGCGGCAAAACTCCATCCAACTCCTCCATCCTCTGCAGGTCAAACAGCCTCTCGTCCAACAGACGCTGCTGCCGTTTGGCTTTCCTCTTCAATTTCTTCTTCTTATTCTTTGATAATTTACCCGTCTAGACACAAACACACATGGGCAAAAAAGTTGTAAAAGTTTTTTTTTTTTTTTTTTTACAAACCAAGCTAATTTAAAAAACGCCTTCTAAAACAAACATAAGGTCTGATGTTAGCTGATCAACCTGTGCAATTATGATCATATTTGCAAGAGCAAACTAATCTCACACACTTATAATGGTTAATATGTTCTCATACAAACAGAATGTGTCATAGTGGTTAATGGAACAGTTCACCCCAAAATGAAAATTCGCTGAACATTTACTCACTCTCAGTCCATTTGATATGTAGATGAGTTTGTTTCTTCATTAAAACAGATTTAGAGAAATTTAGCATTACATGACTTGCTCACCAATGGATCCTCTGCAGTGAATGGGTGCCGTCAGAATGACAGTCCAAAAACATAAGTACATAGTATAAGTACATAAATACTATAAGTACATAAAACATCACAATAATCCACAAGTAATCCATTATTAAGATGTTTTTAACTTCAAACCGTTGCTTCGGACTAAAATACGAGTTTATAATCCATAACATTGCTTTTTCCAGTGAAAAATAAATATTTTCTGAATCATGAAAGCAATATGCACAGATCAAGCATAATTTACAAGTGAAAACAGTACAAAACAGTTCAAAACAAATATGCCTCAAATATGAGGATGTGAGAGGACAAAAGTGGATGGACTTTTTCACTGAAGGAAGCATTATTATAGATTACGGACTGGTATTTTGGCCAGAAGTGACCGTTTGAAGTTAAAATGCTAAATGATGGGTTTGTTTCTTTCGCTTCACACGACATAAATTGATGGATTGGAGTTGTGTGGATCACTTGTGGATTATTGTAATGTTTTTAATCAGCTGTTTGGACTGTCATTCTGACGGCACCCATTCACTGCAGAGGATCCATTGGTCAGCAAGTGATGTAATGCTAAACCTTTTCCGATGCAGAAACAAACTCATCTACATCTTGGATGGCCTGAGGGTGAGAATATTTTTGGCAAATTTTCATTTTTGGGTGAACTATTCCTTTAACAAGGTTGCTGGTTCAAACTCAAAACTCGTCAAGTCAAATTCCTTGTGTGTGTAAACATACTTGGTAACAAAGCTCTTCTGATTCTGATTCTGAAAAAAAATAAACCACCACTGTGTCCTTGACCTAAACACTTCACCTCAAGTTACTCCAGGGGAACTGTCATTGGGTCGTCAACCTTAGGCACAGTTGTCAGCAATGGCATGCAAAAGGGTTGTTTTATTTAGTTACAGAAGTCAAAAGGTGTGCATTAATCGTGATTTTCATAACATGTTGTCCAGGCATCCTTATCTAAACGATTTGCTCATTTTTGATACTCTTAAGCTTACACTGACGCAGCATAAAGTGAATTCTGCCACGGGGTATATCGGACACCCCTGCACCATTTCCAGCTCTGGGACTATTTTGGGATGACAGCTCTGTTGCCATGTCTGTTGTTTGGTCGAGCCGTGACACGTCCGCTCTACTGAGCCCAGTCTTACAGGACTGACCTGATGAACCTCTGCGTCTGGCGCTGTCTGTAAAACTACTGCTGCTACTTATAAATGAGACTTCCTGAGACTGGTTACTGTATATCAGATAAACTGGGTCACTGTAATCTAAAGGGGTCAGAAAGGTGCATGCAATACCGTCTGTTACGGATACTGCTCACAGTCTGAAGAAAACAGGAGTAATGCTTTCTATAATACAAACAGAGGATTCAATCACTCAGAAGTAACAAACCTGTTAAATCATTTATGATATTAATTAGTAATTGTTGCACACATCAGAACATTTACAAGTGAAAAGATTAAAAACGTGGTGATGCACAGAAGGAATCACAATGACTAGGATTAACTAAATTAAAATATGTCATAATAAAGAAGGTGAAAAGCAGTTTAGCCGACCTAAAACGTCGAGTCAAGTCGTGCAGTAAAAATACTATTTTAAGATAATAATAGATAATTTGGATAATTACTCTTTTTAAAGAGTAATTTCTTTAGGTAGCAGCCATTTATTCAAGAAATCTGTAGTCTAACAAGATGAAAAGACATAATAATAATAATTATTATTTTTTTATCTTGTTTATCATAATCATCAATATATTTTGTTGTAATAATTAATTAATAATTTAAAGAGAGTAATAATGAGATGAGACATGCCGAAAAAAAATACTGTTTGGATAATTACTTTTTCTTAAACTTCTATGTAAAAGCCATTCATCAAGAATGAAATCAGTAGCCTAATATTTAAAATAGAGCAAAACAAAGATAAAAATGCACTATTTATTTTATTTATTATTTTAGTATTATTTTATCACAGCACTGAATATTATAGTATTATTATTATTATTAACATCAAAATATTTATACGTATGATACAACAAGAAATAAAACAATTAAAAGCCAGTTTGGCATATTGGTTATCAGGCACTTTAAACGTAAATCTCAATATCTGTTTTGTCTTAAAAATGCAATACCTTCCAATAATATAACACCGTCCCAAGCTAATAATTTTGAGATATCTTATTCTTTTCAACATCTCTTTTCTCATCTCAGTGGTGGAGACAGCCTTGCTTTTCGCCATTCATCTCATTTATATTCAGAAGAGAGGAAAATGTGACAGTAATTCGTGAAATCACTCTCAACCATGCAGAGGTGGTGGCTGAAATAAAAAAAGCAGAATACAGGCAGCGGGAACGCAGCGGATCTCTGTCTGGCTGTCATGACGTGAGAAAAGATAATGCTCCTGTCTGAGAACAGCTTACTGCACTGCTCTTTTCTCACTTCTAAAATAGTCACTTTTAACTTTTCTTCTAAAGAATAAAAGAGGAAAATTAATCCAAATGCAGAATGATCAGATGAAGAAAGATAGCAAGCTTGTTTAATGCTCCAGCATGCAAACACCTCTGAAAGGTCTAATATTGTTAGTGAGCAGTTAATGGTGTAAAATCAACACATCTGTGGGACGGCAAAGAGCGTCAAGACCAAATCCACTTACTGGGGCAAGCCGAAAGAAATGTTTTCTCCATGCACAGAGCATTTAAACATATACTCTATGTGTTTACACTTTTATAAAACCGGCATACGATCAGTTATCAGCCAAAACGGTGCATTCTTATGGAAATCAGAGCACATTTTGAGCATAGGTCGAATTGTCTTTTCCCAGATTAGTGGATCAGCCATGGAGATTCGCCCCTTTCCCAGAGGTTCATGCCCGTATATCTACATAGGCAAGGGTGGGTTAGGGTACAGCAGGCAGATTAAAAAAAGTCATGTGTCATTTTCACCAGGGCAAACTACATCCTCTCTGTATTTCAGCAGGCACAACTCTGAACGTACCTGTTTTTCCCTTGGGGCCGTGCTAACTGCCATCAGAACAGAAGAGGAAAGAGGGAAGGGACAGAAAACCACAATGATAATAATTACAATAATTTAAAATAAAAAGAAAACAGAGAAAGAAAAGATAGGACACCAGTTAGAAACCAAACAGACAACAGAGAAGAAATGAGAAATGATTGGCATATTCACCACAGAAACAGAGGAGAAATGACGACCAGCATGCAGATCAATTTAATGGCACATTTGAAGTTGATTCAAAGTTTAAAGCACACCCAAATTACTTCCTTATTTGCTTTCTTACCTTTGAAACCTAAAAAAAAAAATCACTTGAAAGGTAACCCCTAATTCTATGACCTGGACTCAATTATTGAGGAGAAAACAACTGTGCTTCAGCTAAAATCCACAGGAAGGCAAATCTGTTTGAAAAAATACTGACCAACACTGCTATTGTAAAGCGGTATGTAGGGCTGCAACTACTAATCGTTAATAATCAATAATGAAATTCAGTTTGTTTTAGACCTGAAAAAGCAAAGCACAGCTGATCATTAGATGTCAACTAATTGTTAGGTCAAAATCACTGCCAAACAGCAGATTGTGTTGTTATAATTTACTCCAGGGATACTCAAATCATATCACTTATGGGACACTTTTAGAAACTTCAGGGTGTACAGAAGCCTGTGAATAAATAACCAGGCAATCCTTGATATTCATTTGGTCCAAGTATTGACTAAAGTATAAACCAAATCTATGTTAAACCAGCCTCAAATTTTTAAATCAAAACTGTCATTAAAGGGTTAGTTAACCCAAAAATGAAAATTACCCCATGATTTACTCACCCTCAAGCCATCCTAGTTGTATATGACTTTCTTCTTTCAGACGAATACAATCACAGTTATATTAAAAAATGTCCTTGCTCTTCCTAGCTCTATAATTGCAGTGAATGGGGGTCGAGTTTTTGAAGCCATCCATTACAAAAAGTGCTCCACATGACTCCGGGGGGTTAAAAAGTCCTTCTGAAGTGAACTGATGCATTTGTGTAAGAAAAATATCCATATTTAAAACGGTTAGAATATGCTAGCCTCGTGAGAACCAAGTTTTGTTTACAGCAAAGGAAAACCAGTCTCCTCTTGGCTTATATCGAAATCCTCCGACATT